AGATATTCATATATTTGTGTTCACAGACTGTAAAAACAATCGATTTCAAAAGAAATTAATTGGGCAGAACACGAATATATGAATACCACAGGCTCGGTGATTATCGGGGAATATTCACCTCGACTTCGTCTCGGCGAATATTCCCCGATAATCATCTCGCCTTCGGCGAATAATTGTTAATTATGGCATATATTATATTATGCTCGCATGCAATGGGTTGGATTTAGCCTGCGAACCCACGAGAAGCTGTTTCCCACGAGATCCATCAAAGATGGCGGCGGAATATTTTACAGGAAAACATTTCGAGTTTGTCTGCAACTGGTTAAAGGAAAATAATCTTGCTAAAACCACCAGTTGTGATCTCTGCCATTTATACTATTATTTTTAATAATAGTGAGCCTATAGGAAAGCTATGTTTTTGACAACACAAACATTATGTACAGAGGTTTTTTAATTATTAATAATATTACTTTCCTATACAAAAGTTATAATAAAAATCACTGCCAAAGTTTAGTATCAGCTAACTTTTGGGTGATGTCCTGATGTCAAAAATGTTACTTTCCTATAAGCTACTGTAACTATTTTAATCATGAAAATATACTGAACGCAATAGCCAATATTGTCCCTGGGGTGGCGAATTATCTTTTTTATTTGCCCGGGGGTGGGGAATTTACACTTTTGAAATAAAAAATCTGCAAATTATCGGGGGGGGGGGGTAACAGGAAGAATATCATTAGGTCCTTGCATCATCAGAGCAAACACCTTAACTTCGTCCCCAGGGTCTAATTTATTCTTCCCTAGGACGAGGTTGCAAACACCTTTCACTTCTGAGATCATGGGTTCTATTCTCGCTATGAACTTGTGTGAGACAAGTCTGTCGATGCTCTGCCCAAGATCATAGGTTTTCTCCAGACACTCTGGTTGACAGGGTGGGTTAGGGCCATTCCATTTAAAATCCACACCACCTCTACGGATGAGGTCAGTAAAATTTTAACCCCTACTAAGAAAAAAAGATCAAAGTGCCGACACATAACACCCCTCAGAAATTTGTAAATTTCCCCTTACCCCTCAGAAAAATTGCAGAGATCAAAGGATGCCGACAGGCTTAACCCCTCAGAAACGACTTTGGGGTCACCCAGGGTTTGGACATTAAATGGAATGGCCCTTAGGATAACAGAGTTATAAGAAGTAATATCACAATTGTTGTAAAAATAAATATCTAGGCTGGGTAGGTAATATAAGTAAGCGTAATACTCCTCAGAGTTGGCACGAATTTGACGCATGCACAGGCAGATCCATGTTTTAATTTACTTAAGATATTTCAACATACCGTGTACAGACATTTTTCACCTCCATATTTCTTACAATTCTCATCACTTGTCCAGTTCTTTATCTGACTCACAATTTTAGTGTTTACTGTTGTGCAATTTATACCAAATGACCTGGTGTAAGTCAAAGGACAACCATTTAAAACTCTGTTATTCGAATCCTAAGCACTGAATATTTGAGCATAGACAAAATACCTTTGTTTATTTAAGATTTCTGAGTACTTACCAGTCAATTTTACACGATGCATGTAAGCTGCACTCTGATGTTTGTATGAAGAAAAATACGAGATGTAATACAACCATGAATACAACACTCTTCATCGTGATTAATTTGTGTGTAAAGTATTCTGAAACTGAGTATCTGACCTCTGCTGTAAGTCTTGCACAAACCTCCAGGGTTGCCAGGTCTCAGGGCATGCTCGGAGCCAAACACTGTATAAAATGAGGCCAAATTTTACCAAAAGAGGCCAAACTACTAATTTTTAAAAAGCCTAAATGCAACCTCGGCCCAGGGCCTTCCTCGCCCTAAGTGAGGAAGGCCCTGGGGACGAGGTTGGTTAAAATGAAAGTATGAAACGGAATTGAGCTTTAGCCAGTTACGTAGGATTTCTGTGTTCATATCCCCCGGCAGGCTAAACACAATTATTGCAAAATTATTAATTGAAATTACCGAATCAAAATTGTGGAAAGTCAAGAAATGAGGGCTAGAAAGAGATAACACACACTCTTGTTTTTTTTGTTGATTATATGAATATGTAATTTGTAGAATAAAAAATATTCGTGAGGCGGACGTCTGCGAAAACAGTACCAATTAAGCTTGATCCTATATATTATGATTGGCTATTTTTATACACTTACAATTGGCTGAATTTTGTGAACTGTGATTGGACGAAACAAGCAGCTAAGTTATCCGCATAATGTAGGATGGTTGCTCCGAGAAGTGATACACAAAATTTTGTTTCGTTTTGGCCTGTTTCTCATGATTAATTTAGTATTACACGTGAAATTAAAAATAGCTCTTGAAAATAAAAAGAGGCCAAAAAGAAGCCAAATGGCCAAATTTATTTTTCGAGGCCAAGCGAGAAAAAAAAAAGCCAAATTCGAGTTATTTGGCCTCCAAGAGGCCAATCTGGCAACCCTGCAAACCTCTGTCTACTTTGTTACGATCAGTGCTCTCACAATCAAATTTTCGAATTCCTTAGAAAAAGCTCGAAAATTCCTCAGATTTCCTTAAAATTCCTTAAATTGGTAAAATTACTACAAGGCCTGATCACATAGTTGCAAAAAGTGTTTTTTTCTCTTTTTTTCAGTTTTTCAACCTTGTTTCTAAGCACTAAAATCTGAAAACATTTGATTGTTAGCATATTAAATGCGATAAAGAAAACATTCAACATGATGTATTTTTGATCGTTGCTGCATGAAGAGTTCAGAAAATATGTAGATTTCAGAAGAAACAGCATATACTGACATTTAACTTTTGAGAATTTTAATGGAAAGACAGCCATATGTCATTTATGACATAGAGAACATACAAATATATGTAATTATTTTTTTTCTTGCGGTCCGAAGTCATATTTTACGCTTTTCTGCAATCTGATTGGCTACGTGAGCGGTCCGTATGAGCCCGTACGGACCGCGCGAGATTTAAAGACGTAGAGCCAATGTTTTTATTTTTCAAAATTTAAAGACGAGTTTAAAGGCTACTTTTTAAAACATTAAAATGTCTGCAGACGATGAAAAACACAGTGAAAACGAATTTTACTATCTCACAAAAGATATTTCTCTTCCCGATAGCATTGCTAGAAACGACGTTTTATTTGGCAGCTTCATTCGCGTGCGGGAGGAGTGATTGGGGAAATCCAGAGGAGGAAATAAAAAAAATAAAAATATTATTTACCGGTATGGTCGGTCCGTATAGAGAAATATTTCTCTCGGTCTTAAAAACGTCCCTCGGCCTTCGGCCTCGGGCCGTTTTTAAGACCTCGAGAAATATTTCTCTATACGGACCTCCAATCCGGTAAATAACATATATTTATGTGCGTATAATGTTGCTACTTTCAAGTTTAAATCTCATTTGCGTGGCGTGTTATCCTCCGTCCAACATTTCTAGCCCAAGATAAAATGTTTCGGAAATTCCTTAAAAAAATCCTCAAAAACCTAAATTCCTTAAAAAAATCCTTAAAACTCTTCAAAATTCCTATTTTTAAGGATAATTCCTTAAAAGTGAGAGCACTGGTTACGATGCTTGTTTGTTACTTTGTTCGACAGTTAGCCTGCATGGCAGGCGGTTCCTAAAATTGGGCAAGCCTGGGAAATACCGCCTGCTGGGTTTGGCAGTGTAATCGAATTCCCCGTCCACCAGTGGACGGGAATTGATGATTGGCTACGAGTCTGAGCCGCTGTCACTCAAAAGTGAATGCACTTTAATATGTAAACATACGTTTGACACTTTAATGATGCATCCGTTCGCTTTAATTAATAGGTGTTGTAAAACTGAATGCTTCTCGAAAGAAACGCGAACTGATTGTCAAACGCGAGCAAGAGATAGCAGTTAAAGATTTACTCCTTGGAAAGAATGTTTTGGCCATTCTATGGGAAAAGCTTGATTTTTACATTATTCTTGTTGGCGCGAGAAAATATAACGAGAATAGATACAGACGGCCGTATAGTCTTTCTTGCAACGGGTTTTATAACAGGACTATTAGTCTATTACGCCTATGCCTATTAATAGCCGCTTCACTTTCGTTACCACACGGCTTCGTTAGGGAGACGAGACAGTTCATATTGGCAACTGAGGTTTTTAATATACAACTGTCTAGTGTCTATTTGTTCGAACGTACACAAGCAACGCGTTTATGTCTCGTTTGATTATGGCAATCAGTTCGCTTGCATTTCGGATATTTCGCTCTCACGGTTTACAAACTTGGTCGGATAGTTCCGAGGTAGAATTAACTTCGATTCCTAAATGAACTGAACCGGCAATTCGGCTTATTTCGGCCAAGGTTTTACCACTGTCGTAACGTTTCTTTTGCTTGTCTTAAATAAATAATTTCTCCAACGATATATAAGAATATAAGATATTTTCTCTATTGGCGTATTGCCCCGTATTTTAGTTTCAAAGCACACTTAAACAAACGACAAGTCATTTACATTTTCCGCGCTTGCTTTTCTACCTCTTGTCGTTATTCGCCTTATTCGGTCCTGATTGAAACTTTCAATGGCGTTTCTTTCGACATATTTTGATACATTTGCAATTTTGCGACCAAACAATAACATAGTTTGACAGTTTGGTTATTAATATATTTAGTGTTTGCTGATTGGCTAATTGGACCCGGACAAAAAAGTGGGCGGTTATCAAATTACACTGCCAAACCCAGCGGGCGGTATTTTAAGCCGCGTTCACACCAGCGGCCCAGGCCTGGCCTGGACCTGGCCTTGACCTGGCCTGGGCCAATTGTGATGCATTCACACTGGCTTGACGCCCAACTCCAGGCCAAAGCAATCAGGCGTCAATATAAACGTCCTTGTGCTCCACTAAAGTATTTAATTTCGCGCTTTGAATGTTTTTCCTTCCAATTGTATGACAATCATCTGACCAGTTTTTATCGTGGGCAGATATTGCAATGGTAACGGGGCCTCGCCCAGGCCAGGCCCAGGAAAAACCCGTTCACACCAGTGATGATCGAGGCCCAGGCCAGGCCAAGGCCAGGTCCAGGCCACCTACATTTGCTGGCCTGGATTTCTTAAGCCGCGTTCACACTAGCGGCCCAGGCCTGGCCTGGACCTGGCCTGGGTCTAGGTGTGAACGGGTTTTACCTGGCCTGAGCCTGGCCTAAGTCAAGAAATCCAGGCCAGCAAATGTAGGTGGCCTGGACCTCGATCATCACTGATGTGAACGGATTTTTCCTGGGCCTGGCCTGGGCGAGGCCCCGTTACCATCGCAATATCTGCCCCACGATAAAAACTGGTCAGATGATTGTCATACAATTGGAGGGAAAAACATTCAAAGCGCGAAATTAAATACTTTAGTGGAACACAAGGACGCTTATGTTGACGCCTGATTGCTTTGGCCTGGAGTTGGGCGTCAAGCCAGTGTGAATGCGTCACAATTGGCCCAGGTCAGGTCAAGGCCAGGTCCCGGCCAGGCCTGGGCCGCTGGTGTGAACGCGGCTTTAGACCGCCTGCCATGCAGGCTATTCGACAGTTCGAGTCTCTTCACTTCCTTCCACTTTCATAAAACTGGATTTCCTGTTTTCATCCTTATTTATTGCAATATTTCCTGCCAGAAATTAACAGCTGGGAAATTTGTTGCGCATGCGCCAGATGCCATTGGAACTTGAAGATTTCCCCGAAGAAATAACGAGTGTTGACAGTGTTCGTGGTTGTTGTATATTTTTGAATGCCTGCTTAATCTTTATAATTTTTTTGCTCGAGACAAAGACAAAGACAAAGTAAAATGTACTCTACATTTCCAGTGTATGGAATATCTCGTTTGAACAGCAATAGAATATTATAATCTTGACACAAACTAGAAGACATTTGACACGCTAAATCTGCAGACTGCAGTCATGCCTGTCAATCGTCGCGAGCTTGACAAACTTGTCAAACGCAAAACAAGGAGAAATTTGGGTTCAAACAGAAAGACGTTCATTGTTAATACAACTAACATATATTCTATACAAATACGGGTGGTTTAAGATGTTTTCAATTGAATTTTCAAAGCTTTTATCTATCGACATAATAATCAAACTGTGAAAATGCCGGTTTTTGTTGACGCTTGCGAATGCAAAATACAGACCTGCCAACTCTCACGATTCCACCGTGTGTCACACGATTTTTGTACATTTCTCACGGTCTCACGACATGACTCAATTTTCTCACGATTTTAATTCTTTATTTCATTTCTTGCAATTTACTTTGTCACCTCTACTTTAGCTTGATACTAAGATTTTCAGACAGAAATTATTATTATTATTATTATTATTATTATTATAATTCATTTATATAGCGCCATTTCCCATAGCTCAATAGCGCTTAACATCAAGTGTTAAAAATATATACTAAGTGTTAGAACATAGTGCATGCATTGACTACTAAAATTACTATACTATAAAATTACTAAAAAATAATTATATGCTCTTCTCGTTAAGAATATAAAATTACTTTATGTTATGTATGTTGATAATATTAAAACAACAACTATATAGAATACTATAAAATTGCTAATAATCTTGTTAAAATAATAACTTAGTCATAATACTGTTTAAAAAGATGTGTCTTTAATCTGGTTTTAAAAATAGGCAAGGTCTCACTCTTTCTAATATACTCTGGCAGTTCGTTCCACAGTTTCGGTGCAGTATATGAGAACGATCGTTCACCATAGTTCACTAGTTTTACTGAGGGTATGGTAAGCAATCCTTTGGATGAGGAGCGTAAATTTGCTGATGGTGTGTAAGGTTTTAGCATATTATTAATGTAATG